ATTTTTCAAAACACCTTTTTTTTTTTATATTTTAAACCAAAGAAATACTTCCTTAGTTTGTGTTTACAATCACCGTGTAAGATAAGATGTTTTTTGATCAACTCTACTGTTCTGGCTGTAGATTAACATATATTGTATAATCAGTGTATTAGATGCTGAAGAACTCCGTAATAAAACTAGAAGTCTTCTATAGCATAAAAGATTTTGCCATCTGCCATTTTAATATAATACAAGTGGATTAGCCTCCTCTGTCATGAAAACTATTATTAAATCTACAATAGCCAGACAAAAGACATTACTGTTTAAGAAGTGACGGAAACTAGCAGAGATAGAATTGAATTTGTGGAGTAGCTGATGGATACCAGAAAATACTGTCTAAAGAGGTTTCTGGGAGGGTGGGAAAAGTGCAAACATCTTAATTAAATTATATTGTAGTAATTTTTGAATCTGGATATATTTTTAAAAAATCCAATGCCTGTATCTCTACTGAAATGCATATACCCCTTTCTAGCCTATGTTAATCTGGTTTGGTTGAAGTGAAGTACTGAAACAGATTGTTAATGCTATTGGGTGCTGTTCTTTCCTTCCAAATGGGCTAAACATTGCAGCAATTCATTTACATTTACTGCCTTTTTCCTAAACCTTATCACTAGCTCTTAGATAGCTAAGGGAAAGAAAGCTTATCAAAACTTCAGTGCTGCACAGTGCTGAGAAAGCAGTCAGCGCACTAAGACCCTGGCACCTTGTTGCATTTGCATCCCTATGGGATTTCTGTCTGTCTTATCATTTTTRGTTTCTCTAACAGGCAATAGAAAAGAATTGATGATTCAGTGTGGGATACAGTAGACTCACAAAAACTGGAATTGAGACATCTTGACTTCTTAGAAATTGCCATTAGACACAAAAATAGGAATGTTTAGAATGGAGAAAAATACCTCTTAAATGAACTTATGTAGAGCTGATAAAAGATTGCAGCAGGCACATCCTGAACAATAAGCCTATTTAGTATCCTATTTTTTCTTGTATATAAGCTCTTCTCAATACCTTTTTGCAAATCTAAGCAGTGGCACTGTAAGTAATGATTATGGACTATTTCAGTGAATGCACAGAGATAATTTAATTCCTGTGACTAGTGCCATTGACTACAATGGGACTATTTCCATGTGTAAAGTTACCATGGAGCATGTGTGGGCAAGACTGAATCCAGAATAAACACTTTACCTCTTGCAAAAATGCTCTTTTTGCAACAGAAATATGAAGACCTCCTGTAGTGCTCCATGAAGACCTACTGTAGTGCAAGATGAGTTAGGGCTTGTCTTGAAAAGTAAGCATGAAATCTATATATAAGCCCTCCCCCAGAAAAGAAATATAAGTGAAGAAGTAGTTGTAAAGTAAATCGTTATATTAGTCTTTCAAAAATTGGAGGCTTTCAAAGCACTTTGTGTATATCCTTTTAAGGTGCTATTAAGCATTGCTATATGGAGCAAGGAAATTATGAATGGCTGGTCTAGGATCATGCCATGAAATAAACGTTTGCAATCAGTACTTGCTCACCATGCCCTAACCATTAGGAACTGTCTGTCCTAATGCTCAGTACTGGCCATAGCCTACAGGTAGATCACTCCTCTGGCTATGGCCAKTCTCAGAAGTTTTGTTGACTGGTTTTATCTTCTGTCTGTCAGAGTCTGGAGGGTAGACTATTTCTAGTAAATCTGGGTATTTAGTGAAGGAAAAAAGAACACTTAGCTAGATTTAGCTAGATTTTTGTCTAGTGGAGCTCTTGAGTCTTTTTGTCTAGTGAAGCTCTTCAGTCTTTGAAACAGGACATGGTGTTGCTCTYTTCTTTATCTGTTTATTGTTCTTTTCAATATTAAGGTATTCTTGGACCTGGTCTGCAGACTGTCTTTTGGTCTTTTGTACTGCTCAGAATGTTCTGAAACCCACACCAGGTTTTCATTTCTCAACTAGTACAATTGGGGCAACCTTAGATGTGGATGCAGTGATTTACACTGTCCCATTGACCCAAATTAGACTCTTCCATAGTACCTTTATAGTACCTTTATACTATTATCCAAGTACTCCAATAGTACCTTTATACTATTATCTATTACTGATTCTTCCTGTGGAAGATGATACCATGTAAGCAGGATAAACATAATCAACAGGGTTAGATTTATCAACCAATATTAACTCTACTGTAACAGCAAGACATTTTCAAGATTATAAAAACATTTACTGTTGTGTTGGAGGAAGATAATTTGCCGTGTTTCTGAATGAGAAATGAGTTGCTCAAAGATGGTGCTAAGTATGCAATAAGGACAATACAGAAGGAGAATTAAATAAAGGGAACCCTCCTTAGTCAGATCATGTTTTCCTTACATGCCACTATAGTGCTCAGACAGAAATATGTTGGAGTAGATCTCTCTACCCACAAGCAGAAGGCTACAGGGATTGTCTTTCACCCTCTCTCTAAAGCAGATGGGAACAAAATCTCTGAAGAATCCCTCTGCCAGAAAAGGAAAGAGAAGAGAAGAGAAGAGAAGAGAAGAGAAGAGAAGAGAAGAGAAGAGAAGAGAAGAGAAGAGAAGAGAAGAGAAGAGAAGAGAAGAGAAGAGAAGAGAAGAGAAGAGAAGAGAAGAGAAGAGAAGAGAAGAGAAGAGAARAGTCATATACCATTATCAATGCCATGTTATGTCTAAGAATATTATACTGATTCTGTTCCTGTAGAGGGATGATTCAGCTCTACTTCTTTGGAAGGTATGCCATGTGTTTTCAGTAGTCAGCAAGGTAGGAGATGTTACTTGCTAAGGAGAAAGTTCAGACTGCAAGACTTAGAGATATTACAAGTGGAAATTTCCAGTATCCCCTGGGAGGATTTTTCTCTTAAAATCTGTGCAGAGGGTAGTTTGGGGAGACACCAGATTGTAAAAGCGCGTATAAAGCCTTTAAGGCCTGTCTTGATAGGTCTTGTTGTAGCCGTATCAGAAAAACCTTGCATTAATAGAGGTTGCAGCTACATACAAGATTTTTGTCTGGGTTAAATGGTGCCAGTGCCAGAACAAAATACACAGGTTTTTCTGTATCTAATCCTGCAGACCACTGATGCAWAGAGCAGGCTGCTCCAAAGAGCTACAGCTTGCTCTGTGCTGGTGCTTGTGCCTGCCCACTCTGTGCCTGGAGCGCAGGTCCAGTCTGCAAATGTGCACCTGAAGGCAGCTCTTTTTTTGCACTCAAAAAGTACAATTTTTGCAAGCAAAATATTCAGAAATGGCCCATTCTGCGTGCCACTAGGTGGCACTTAAGGGACATGGCAGCCACTTGCTCTTACTCATTATACACGGGCTGCCTCACCAGGACTGGTGGGCATTTTGTGGGGAGAGAGGTTGTTAAATGGAGCTGTTTATTTATTTTGTCGTCTGCCTGCACTGCCCAGGCTGCTGAGCTCCGCACACTTGGTCCTCGCTGCCCTGGCAGCAGGGGACAGCAGCCAGCCCCATGGCTCCAGTCAGAGCCAGTGGCTGCGAGAGCCCGGAGCTGTCRCAGCTGCGAGGCCACTGGCTGCATCTCCCTGCTCAGGACATCCAGCAAGAAATGTAGGCTGCACCCTACACCCTGCAGATAAGCCTACAGATGTAGCACAGTTAGAAAAGCAGGAGAGAAATCTCATCACCTGAGACACATTTTCCTCTTCTCCAGAGGAACTGCACATGGCTTTAAAAGAAGATCACAAATCACACTTCTATGTACATATTCAGCATCTTATAGTTGAAGAACATGCAGTAGCCTGACAGAACTCCTTGTGCCCTGCTGCTTTTTGTTGAGCTCTTCTTGTTTTTGTTAGGAAAGAAATGGAAGTATTATTTTAAAATCCTTGGTTAAAAAAAAAAAAAAAAAAAAAAAAAAAAAACTTCAGTACGTTTGCTCTTTTTTTTTAAGAATTTATGATTAAGCACTGTGAAACTTGTGACTGTTAAACTGCTCGATGAGTTTAAGCAGCAAGAGATTAGACTCCTCAGTGCACAGCAGGTTTTTAATATGGCTCAAATTCTGGTCCCTCTAAA